AAAGACAGGGATCGATGATCATTTAACCTATATGATATCACAAGTATATAAAGTACATTATTAAGTTGATTATCTTATGAACTAATTTTTTAGTCTTCCTTTTAAATTTCAAAATATTAAATTAATTAGTGCTTTATGCTTTCCTCATTTATGTATGGCCTAGTGATAAAGTCTATACCAAATGACTTAAAAAAATAAGTGGTGAAGGAACACATTTGTAGAAGGATTTTTTTAGTATGTTATTAAAATTACGGGCGATTAAGTGGACCAGGGAGATAATTTATTGCCTATTTACTTGATTAATTAATCAAATTAGTGCTTAGCTAATAAATGGTTTACTTGGCTACATAATTAATTACCCATCTTCTAATTCGATTTTAGGCATATTTTAAGTCCCTTACTCTAACAATTATATTCAAATAATAAGTAAGTAGGCTAGCAAATTATTTATGTATTGAATGCTCTAATTATATAGTAAAACCGTTCGATATTTTTTTCACAATTTTGGAGGATTTATTTAGGTTATAATTATGTCATTCCTTTATCTGTTAACCAGTCTATTATAAGATTATTTGTTGATTAAATAAAAATTGAGTCAATCAGATGATCTGCAAGTCGATTAGACAAAGTTATCGTTGTGTTTTTCAATTTATTCTATAGTTAATTATCTGCCATATTGGTTAGTTGGTAATCAAAATATTCACCGTAATAGCCATATTAAGCTTGTTCGCATTTGCAAAAATTAATCGACGATGTTTGCTTCCTCCCGTTTTGGCTTCACAAGAGGTAGCATGGAAGAAGTAAATAATTTCATGTCACAAAAAGAAAATTCTTGTATTGAGTGATGTATAAATTGCGGATGCACGGCCTATTACAAGCAGACGAATAATTCGACACTATTAAATACATTCTGGCATCTTTCCTGTCAAAGTTTGATAAGAAATAAGGTTGAATTCCGAATGGTGGAATACAAGTAGAGTTATGTCTTCATAAATGGAAGAAGGCTCTTAGTTATGGGTGGTAGGCAATTCAAAAATAACTTTATTACTAGTAGTGCTATCGTCTCTGTTTCATTCTAAAAACGGTATCTACTATGCTCATGCAATTCTCTTAAACTTGGGCACCGAAAAGTATATGTGGAAGAACTGAATGCCTAGTATCTGGCCGACACGGGATTCTCTCAGCCAAAACTATTTGCGGTTGGCATATCGTAGTTTTTGTGTGCGTATAGATCTCACAGAAAGCGGATTTTATGCCCAGCTTGTAGGTGCAATTCGATGCTTTGCTGATCCCAAACTCGGCTTTTGTTTTATTCTTAGAAACCTTTTCACGATCGTCCGGAATTACTTTTGGACGCCAAAAGTAGTGTGTTGCCCTGGCGAGAAGCATTCCGTCGTCGTTTAGTCAAGTTTTCTCGTCGTTCTGCTCGTGGTCACTGTCTGGCAACCGGTTCTCGGCCCGCCTCAACTGCTGTCTCCCCGAGGCACCACCAACTGGCCGGTCTTCCCGACAATGGGGCCTCTTCGAGTGAAGATGATGACGAGCTGGACGCCACGGCGGGCACTTATCTGCGTCGAGTGTCCCGTCTACGCAACTTGTCCGGCTACTACTCACCTCCTCTGCCCAACCGGGCCGGGCAGCCAACAGTCAGCTCTGCCGCCAGCCTTGGCAGCGTCCTGAAGCCGGCTACACCGTCGGCCGGTCGACGACAGTCTCTATCGCCGGTTGTGGCGCCTGCCGCTGCCTCCAGCCTCTCTCAGAGCCCCGGGGGCGCTAGGCAACGAGATCGTTCTCGAGGCCATGCTACCGCGGTTGCCGGCACACAGAGGCAGACGAACAGTGTCTACACACCCATGGCCTATCCACGGACCGGTGGCCTCAGCATGCAACAGGATGCGGGCCCAACGCAATTGACTTTGGCACCGGTACCGGTACCGG